GCCCCCGCCCCTACCCTCACCCTCACCCCCACCCCGCGGCCCCTTTGGCCAACAGGCCAGGTTTCTCTTGGGCAGGCAGAGAACACAGACTGCAGAAATCCTCAAAGCATCTTATTTTTCTAGCAAACATATTTCTCCAGCTCCGGAGGCTCTGGAGCATCCATGGAACATTCCAGATCTGACCCTCCCACTCCCCTCTCCTTCCGTCTGGAACCTACCAGGGCCCTCCATGCTCATGTCCCCACCTGAAGGGGAGACCAAGCCTTCCTCTTCAGGCTGGGGGTTTGCTCACTCACTCATCCCAGGCCTCCCAGGGCTCCCAGGAATCCAGCTCCTCGGTGGCCTGGGCTGGGAAGCGCAACCTGGCGGGCAGACACTTCCCACACACACACACACACACACACACACGCCAGCTCCTCTCTGAAGTGACTCCCCTGTTTGGAACGGCAAGAAACTTTTTCTCTTTTTGGTGTTGGTTAAAAGGGAACACAAGACATTTAAATAAAAATTTCCAAACATTTCTGAGGACAGAGCTGAGTCTTTGTGGTCAGGGAGGAAGACACTGAAATAAGCTCATGGGGAGGAGGGGTCTCCTGGCCTGGGGGCTTTAACACCCATCACCTGGGTGACTTTGGACAAATTGCTTTGTGTCTCTGCATCTCCATTCTCTTATCTGTAAATTGGGAGACAGCCCACACCTAGGTTGCTGTGAGGATTAAAGAAGAATGCCTGTGTGCCCCGAGACCACAGGAGGGAGGCCTTCAAGGGCCCTTAGACACCCTGGCTGCGTGGCACCCACAAACAGAGCTGCATACCTTGGCCGATGGTAGCTGCCCATTCATTGATTCATTCATTCACGGATGTTGAGTATGTGCTAGACCAGCCGTGGACAAACTACAGCCCGCGGGCCGGATCCGGCCCATTTGAAATGAATAAAACTAAAAAAAAAAGACCGTACCCTTTTATGTAATGATGTTTACTTTGAATTTATATTAGTTCACACAAACACTCCACCCATGCTTTTGTTCCGGCCCTCCGGTCCAGTTTAAGAGCCCATTGTGGCCCTCGAGTCAAAAAGTTTGCCCACCCCTGTGCTAGACGCTGTACTAAATGGTGACACTGACATCTACCTGCCCTCACAGACCTTCAGCCTGGCTTGGTGACTAAGCTCTTTGTTCCTGATTGTCAAGCCTGGGGACTGGGGGCAGAGTTCCCTGAGTCTGTTCCCCTCGTCATTAGAATAAAAGCCCTTATAACAATAATGGCAATTAATGTTGATCATTTACCTTCTGCCCAGCTTTGTGCTTGATGCTTTACAATCCTCTCTAGGAAGTGGGCCCCATCATCTACACTTAATGAGGAGGACACCCAGGTGCAGGAGGTGAAATGATTGCCCGAGATCCTCCAAGCTGTGGAGCTGGGACTTAAATCCGGGTCCATTTGATTCCAAAACTCCTACAATTAACGGCGCCCTTTGTTTGCCATGCGTTTCTAACTTCCTACCAACCAGGTTCTGAGGCGGCCAATATGAATGACTCATCACACATCCAGTTAAATACGAACTCAGAAAGTTGAGACACCATATGTCAAAGTGGGGGATCCTTCAGAAATAAAAATGCACCTGAGCAGATTTCTCTCTGAGCTTCCTAGCAGTCCTAGCAAAAAGAGAAACACAGCCAAGCTGATGCTGAGATAAAAAATTAAACTACAGCCCTGGCCGACTTGGCTCAGTGGATAGAGCGTCGGCCTGCAGACTGAGGGGTCCCGGATTCGATTCCAGCCAGGGGCACATGCCTGGGTTGCGGGCTTGGTCCCCAGTAGAAGGCGTGCAGGAGGCAGCCAATCAATGATTCTCTCTCATCATTGATGTTTCCATCTCTCTCTCCTTCTCCCTTCCTCTCTGAAATCAATAAAGAAATATATATATATAAAATTAAACTACATGCCCGGCCAGTGTGGCTCAGTGTTGACCCATGAACCAGGACGTCATGGTTAGATTCCTAGTCAGGGCACAGGCCTGTGCTGTGGGCTCGATCCCCAGTATGGGGCGTGCAGGAGGCAGCCAGTCAATGATTCCCTCTCATCATTGATGTTTCTCACTCTTTCTCCCTCTCCCTTCCTCTCTCTGAAGTCAATAAAAGCACTTTTTAAAAATTAAACTACATGTCTACTTCTTGCCAGGACAAAGAGATATGTCATCTTGAACTGTACAGTGTGGTGTTTGAAGGTGTTATCTTCATACCATCTTCACAGTTGCCATTCTGAGCAACCAGGAGTCAATCCCACCACGGCCTCCAGGAGACTGGGTGGAAGATGCATTCAGAGTATCCCACCACAGCGGGCGAGGGAGCTGGGGTCTTTATGCTCCAAGTACACCCCTCACTGGCTGAAATCTGCTCCCGGAAAAATTACCACCCTGGCCCTGCCAACCTGCCCCTGGCAGGGCTGAGAGAAAGCCCCCCAGGCATGTGCTGGAACTTCAAATACTTAGAGGATAAAAACGGGTACACCGATGGGTTAAAAAGGCCGTGAGTCAGAGAGATGAGGCTTCAATCTCTGTTCCACCATTTTCTTGTTTCCATGACCTGGGGGCAAGCTGCTCGATGTTTCACTCTCACATTGATGTTTCTCTCTCCCTCCCTCTCCCTTCTCTCTCTGAAAATCAATTTTTTTTTTAAAAAAAGAATAAAGATGATCTGACAGATTATTTTCTATTCGTCCAGATAACCCTGTCTTCTATTAAAGATAAATCCAGAACTTAACACAGTAAGAGTTTATTTCTGTTAACATCTGGTGGTGCCTTTGGTCAGTGACTGGGACCCAGGCTCTTTCCACCTTGTGGCTCTTCCCTCCTCTAAGTTCCAGATGTTCTATTAAACCAGAATGTCTGTCTACTAAGTTCTATCTGACCAACACGTTGATGGAGGGGATGCAATGGAGGAGACATCTTTTTAAACTACTTCCTCCTGGGAGTGACGCACACAGTCCATTGGTGAGAACTAATCATATGATCCCACTTAGATGCAATGGGGGCTGGGTGAGCAGTTGGCTGTCACCAACAACTCTAGAGCAGGTTCTCGGGAACCCGGGCACCATTGATACTCGGGGCCGGACACGTCTCTGTTGTGAGGAGTAGAGGCCAGGGATGGTTAGCAGCATCTACGCACTAGATTTCTAGGTGGCAAAACATAGCCCCCCCCCGCCCCCCCAACCAGTTAAGAGCTTCTGCTCTATTTTTTAAAAAATATATTTTATTGATTTCTTTTTAGAGAGGAAGGGAGAGGGATAGAGAGTTAGAAACATCGATCAGCTGTCTCCTACACACCCCCAACTGGGGATGTGCCCACAACCAAGGTACGTGCCCTTGACCGGAATCGAACCTGGGACCTTTGAGTCCACAGGCCGACGGTCTATTCACTGAGCCAAACCGGTCAGGGCAAGAGCTTCTGCTCTATGGTAAGAAAAGAGCGTGCATGAGGGTGGTCAGCAGGCCGTCTTGTCTCAGCTTCGCTCATCCTCAGGGCCCCTTCCCACTCATGTGCTCCCCAGACGGCCCAGAGCAGCCTCACCGTATTTTAAAACATTGGGGACTTTCACACAGGGTTGGATTTTGGGCTTCTCTGAAAAACTGAAAGGTGTGGCTGCCACTGCCCCATATTTCTGCAGGGCAGTGGTCAGCGGAGCTGGCCGATGGCTGCCCACCAGGTTCGCCACACGGCAGGAGGACCTGGAGTGCCAGTCCAGGAATCCGGAAGCTGATCATGAAGACCCTGGGGAGCCAGGCAGGTGCTGGGACTGGGACATGAGTGTCCTTCTTGAAAGATCGTCCTGGCAGCCGTTTTGAGGACGGCTTCGGGGAGAGGAACTAGAGGCTGGGAGGCCAGCAGGAAGGCTGTTCAAACAGACCAGGCAGGCGCAGCTGGGGCCATGCAGATGGGGAGGCTGAACAAGCCCCCAAACACGAGGGTCCCCGCTCTTGTGTGTCGAGAAGGAAGTTAGAACGTGAGTGGACAGATCATTGCAAACTGCTGAGACTGAGGGCAGGAGGGAGTGGGACACCTCCCACACACCCACCCACTGAACACCTGAGCTGTGACTGTGACGTGGCCACCACGCGGACCCGTTTCCACACACCCCCCCCACCCGTCCTGTGAGGTGGGCATATTCCCATTTTACAGATGGGAGAGTTGCGGCAAGCTGAACCCGGGTCTGCCTGGCTCCCAGGCCACGTCCCCCCGCTTTGCCTCTGGGATGCTAATCTCTCCAAGGAAAACAACCCCAGCCCATCAGCCACGGAAGCCCTTCCATGGGGCAGGGAGAGCCTGGGAGTTTATAATTAGTCCTTCCCCGTGGCTTACCAGGACCTCCCACCGAGACCTAGCCGGCCGGTGGGGGATGGGGATTAAGTTCCCAGAAGAGGATTTGGGCTCCCAAGTTCCTGTGTGGCTTCCTAGGCCTCCTTGCGATGCTGCCTGGATCACAGCGCCAGCACCAGGCCCTTTTCTGGCTCCTCAGCCACCTGTGCCCAAACCGCAGCACCTCGGGATGGTGCACACAAGTGCCCCCCAGCCAACCATGGGCAGGCCTGGCTGGGGTCCATCATCGGCCAGTGCCCCGTCTCCCTCCTGCCCCCGCCCCCAGAAGCGAGGCTTAGAATCGTCGAGGCGATGGGAACACTGACTGTGAGGTTTCTGTGGGGTTCCCAAGGGCCACGCGCTACTTCTAGGGCCTCACAGCCCTTCACTCATCTGTCCTCCCAATGCCCTGTAAGGGCCTGTGGCCAGCAGCAGAGCACACGCCTGAGAGCAGCCACCGCTCCGTCCACTGACCACTGCCCTGCAGAAATAGGGGGCAGAGCGAGCCACCCTTCCCACTTTTCAAAAAAGCCCCAAATCCAATCCTGTGTGGAAGTTCCTCGTGTTTTAAAATAACTCTCCCTCTCCCTTCCTCTCTGTAAAAAGATCAATAAAAAATATATATTTTTAAAAACACACGATGAGGATGCTCTGTGCCGTTTGGAGAGCATGAGAGCGGGACGGTGCCCTGAGGACGAGAGAAGCTGAGAAGAGACGAGCTGCCCACCCAAGCTTCCCAAGCCCCTTCCTAAGCAGAGGGCAGGGGTCCCACTCTCCCCATTTTCCTGGTGACGAAGCAGAGGCCGAGAGAAATTCGGTAGCTTAGGTGAAGTCACCCCGCTAACAAGAGGGAGGCAGGACTCGAAGCCAAACCCTGCGGCTCCAGGGAGCGGATCTAATCCTGCCTTTGTGTCCTTTGGCGCTGCGCAGGGTGAGGAGCAGAAAGGAGGAGTCAGGAATGTAGCTGAAAAGGTTCGGGGTGGCTGGGCTGGGCTGGCGTCAGTGGCGAAGATCCTGTTATCCTGGGCCAGCGCCCCGTCCTGGTGGGAACGCCCAGTGGCCTCCACCTGCCCGCGCCAGGGCGGGCTGGCTCCGGGGCCTGGGGGTCGGCCTGGGCTGGCACACTCTGGCCGAGGGCCCTGTCACCAGCCTCTGGCCCACTCAGGACACCTGGTTGGAAGCAATGGCTGCAGTGAGGCTGTGCCCTGAGGCCAGTCGGCTGGGTCAGGGGGAAGGGGGCCCTGGGGCAGGATCTGGAGGGGTTTGAGCCCAAACCAGGCACCCCTCACTCCCAGAGCCAAGACAGGAGCAGCAGCCCCAGCCGCTCAGGGCAGGAGCAGGCGCTGTCCCCACACGCACCCTGGCAGCCTGGCTCAGTGGGGATGGGCCCTGCGTCAGCCCTGAGCCCTCCGCTCCTGAGGGCTCTCCTGGGCCACGGGCCTCCTTCCACGGCCCCAGACAAAGCTCAGGTAGTGGGCGTCTGCAGGCCCGAGGAGGAGGACAGCCCAGAGAGAGCCAGGCCCCAAAGTGAAGTAAGTCACAGTCAAGTGGGCAGAGGAGCCCAGCGTCCACCCCCAGCAAAGGATTCTCCTGGGTCCAGCCAACTCAGGGTCAGCCGTGCCTTGGGACTGTGGGTGCTGATGAGAAGGGAGGACTCACCGGGACCCAGCGCCTGCCCCACGCCGGCCGGTACTTCAGCCCCCTTCCCCACTGTCTTTCCACCCTCTTCACAACACCGGCGGCCCCATTTCACAGATGAGAAAACCAAGAGTGACCAGGGCTCTACTGTAGCTGGTGGTCAGGGGAGACCTGTCTGAGGAGGTGACATCTGAGTTGAGACCGGTTGGTAAGATGGTGGCCCGGCAAAGAGCTGGAGGGAAGGTTGTTCT